GGCTGCTTACAGACATAAAACATAATTCAAATGATATCTTGATATCAGAAATGAATAATATAAAATAATGGTTATGCTTCGAGTCTTCGTTTTAACTTGATTCGACATTTACCTTAACCAGCTGTTTACAAGTTAAGATGGGCAGGCATTTTCCGTATTATGGTAATTATAGCGGCGCTTTTCATTTACATGTTCTTGAGACACAGAAAAAGTTGATCACACTTAGTATTGAATTATGTCTAAAGGATGGGAGAACTGAATACTAAACGAATTTAAGACATTTTACAGCGCTTTTAATTTGAGTTGAATCCTCTTTATCAGGCCTGCTTTTCCTGAATTGCATTGCAATAAGACGAACGTAGAAATAAAGGAAGTAAATTCAAATACTAAAAGCTTAAGCTACACCAAACAATCAGATTGTGAAAAAGGGCAAGATAATAATGTGAAAACAGTCTTTACTACAAGGCAATTTATACTGCAAGATCATTAAAAATCTTCCAGGTGTTCTTGAGCGACTTAAACTATGACATGATCGTCTTAGAACAGAAATATATACTTTACAACATTTCATATTAGGCCAGAAATTCTCGCAAAACCGGCAAAACAGTAAATTTCAGAAGTATGTTGGACTTGCGCTCTCCGAGAGAGAAATCTGAAACCACGAGGTTTTAGTAGAATATTAATAGAGTAGTTCTTTCTCCATAGCAGTCTTAGCAAGTCGTATTAAAAATAATGTGACGAGCCGGAGAGGTAACTGATATAAAATGAAATACGAATTTCGCCGGGTAAAATCCAAAGCAATCATGAAAGGCACATACGGGTTAAGCTGCTCCAGTCATCCTACCCCTAGGAAGTGGTGGGAGTTTTAAGAAAAGGGATAAATAAGGAAGCAATTAAGAAGTTCTTTGTTTGACATCATAATTTAAACATTTTTGTCTCTTGTTTATTTTAAGAAAACAAACTAAACGCCCTCTCCTCAGTCTCTCGTCTCCACGCAAATCCTTCTCTTTATGTAGACGGCTACAAACACTTTGTATAGAAACTTATAGAACTCAAGTCTTAATGTGATTCAGAAGATATCAGCCGTTGAAGGAACCTCTTTGTTAAGAGACTGACTTGAGATAATACTGACACTTGAGAAAACTTCATGTCTCTGCAGAATAAACTCATTTGCGGGGCAGCCGTTGATTAGGTGGTTTACGATGTCAGTATACTGGATATTAAAATCTCGGGTGGCGAACTGCCCACGAAATAACAAGCCTAATTATTCTCAAAAGACACTATAAAAGGGCAGTGGATCTGCTTATCATTAGATTGTGAACATTGCCATACCGTAGTTTTCGCGCAAATAACAACAGCAAGCGAAACATTTATCCCAGCTTCAGTAACAAATAAATAGAGTGACCTTAATAAGAGAACAAATCAGTAGAAAACTCATTTGTGAGCGTAAGAGCGGAAAAANGGCAGCCGTTGATTAGGTGGTTTACGATGTCAGTATACTGGACATTAAAATTTCTAACTTTAAACTCCAATAAGCAGTCTCTGCTTGGGCATCAGGATGATTGAATTGAGCTCAAGTGTTAAAAATCCTGTGTACTCCATGACTTGTCGTGATAAAAACTATGATGGAAGACTGTTTATCATAGACTACAGAGGAAAGTGAAAAAAGGAAAACAGCTGTCGGTACTCCATCTGGCGCAGAAGTGAAATTTAAGAGAAACATAAAAAATTAAAAGCAATTTGTGGCACAAGCTGATAGGTCACTTTCGGGTGGCGAGCTGCGCACGAAAAAACAAGCCTAATTATTGTCGCAATACTTGTGAAAAGGCAGTGGATCTGCCTATCATTAGATTGTAGACATTGCCATACCGTATATGTTTTCGCGCAAATAACAACAAGAAGCGAAACGTTTATCCCAGCTTCAGTAGCGCATATATAGAGCGACCTTAATAAGGGAACAAATCAGTAGAAAACTCATTTGTCAGCGTAAGAGCGAAAAAAGAAACTGAACGACTATGGATCGCAAAACTTGAACTCAACGATGAATGGATCACAGCCATCGAGCTGCTACTGGAATCCTACAGCAGAAAAAATCGGCATGACCTTTGCTTACTGCCTGGTTTTTCTTGTTTCGCTGGCTGGGAAAACTACCATTAAATATGATAGATGTCAAGGATGGTGTATTTGATACAACATTGAAAAATTCCGATCTGGTGTTCGCAGAAATATAATACAATTCAATAATATCGTGCCTTCCCTTCTGTAATGAGTATGCTTCCAAACTTCGTTTTAACTAAATTTCAAATTTATCTTAACCTGCAAACCTGCAGCTGTCCGCAAATTAAGAGGCGCGCATTTTCTGTTATGCCATGTATAGCGGGGTTTTTCATTCACTGCACTTGAGACACGAAAAAAGTTGATCACGCTTGGTACTGAATAATGACCAATAATGTCTTTTGGATGGGAGACCTTACTGTTAAACAAATTTAAGACATTTTCTGCACTTTAAAATTTGGGTGGAATCCTCTTTATCAGACCTTTTTTTCCTGATTTACATTACAATAAGTCGCACGTAGAAATAAAAGAAGGAAATTCGAATACTAAAAGCCACACTGAAACTGATCAAATTCGTATGAAACGTAAACAATGATAATGTCAGTAAAACTTTTCTCATACGAGGCAATTTCTAACACACGATCATCGCAAATCTTCCAGGAGTTCTTGAGCTGCTTAATAAGCTGTGATGGTTTAAGAATAGAAATACTTTAAAACATTTCATGTTAGGCCGGAAATTCTCGCAAAACGAGAAAAAACATGACCTAGGCTGAATTTCAGACGACCCGGCTCGAGTCGCACACTCCTAGACAGGAATCTGAAACCATGAGGTATAGTAATAGAGAAGTTCTTCATCGTTAGCAAGCCACATCAAAACGAATGTGTGCGCCGGAGGAGTAACCAATATGAAATGTCGCCGAGCAAAATCCAAAGCAATCATGAAAGGCACATACAAGTTAAGCTGCTCCAGTCATCTCAACCCTAAGAACTAGTGCGAGTTTTCAGAAAAGGGACAAATAAGAAAGCAAATTAAGCGGTTGCTTGATTGACATTATTTGGACTTTTTGGTTTCTCCTTTATTTTGAGAAAAACAAACAACACGCTCTCTCCTCTTCCGTCTCCACTCAGATCCCTCTCTTTTTGTAGACAGGTGCAAATGCTTTTTAAACAAACTGACTCTCAGTGAGTTGAATCTAATCCTCACGATGCTAGCCGTAGAAGAAGTGAGATACAATGCGCGGTTTATATAACAGGAGTCTCTTTCTTGGGAGGCTGATTTGGATACTCGAAAAAACTTGATCTCTGTGGGGTAAACAAACATAACACATTTGCGCGGCAGCCGTTGATTAGGTGCTTTGCGCTGTCATTATATTGAAAATTAAAATTTCTAAATTTAAACATCGACGAGGAGCACTCTCTGAAAGCCTCGTGAAACATGCCAAATTGTTAAGCAATTATTTTCGCGCAAATGACAACGTGAAGGCAAACATTTATACCGCTTTCGGGTGGAAACATAACATATAAACATGACGTTATTACTGAATGTGATCAAACCAGAAGAAAAGTTATTCGTGAGCGTAAGAGCGGAAAAAGAAACTGAACGGCTATGTCACAAGACTTGAACAAAACAATGAATGGAACACAGCCATCGAAGTGCTACTGGAATCCTACAGCAGAAAAAATCGGCATAACCTTTGTTTCCTGCCTGATTTTTCTTGTTTCGCTGGCTGGGAATACCGTCATCGGAATAATTGCCTACAAGACGAAAACCATGAGAAAACCCATCAACTTTTTAATCGTAAATATGGCCATGTCCGATCTGCTCTTTCCGAGTTTTTTGGTTCCTTGGGATATTCAACAGCTCTACATAAACTCCTGGCTGATCGGTGGTCCTCTTGGCCAGGTCTTATGTAAGCTGACTTACTACTTACCATATGTCTCCATGGCTGTGTCTGTTCAAAGCCTGGTTCTGATAGCAGTGGATCGATTTGGAGTTGTGGTATACCCCCTCCGTTCCCCACTCATTAGTTCAAAGCTGTGTCCGTTCTTCATTCTCGCCACTTGGATCGTCTCGTTGGCTTTCCTTTCCCCATATCTCTTCGCCCTCAAACTAGTTGAATACTCAGGAGGGTTGGTGTGTACGCTGCATTGGAAAGAAGCCTTTGGAGAGTCCTCATCCTTTGAGAATTACTTCGTGTCATGGCTTGTTACATTCGTATTTATCCCGTTGCTCTTGATAGCCACACTTTACATTACCACCTATGTAAAGCTCAAGTCACAGAAGATTCCAGGTGAACAATCGGCCAACGCTGGACAACAACGGCAACAAAGGGAAAGCAATGTGTTAAAGATGGCCATTGCTATTGTGTTAGGGTTTGCAGTATGCTGGCTGCCCTTTGCTATACGCTTGCTTCTCTTCCATTTTGTATCGGACATCATATCGTCTTGTGGCTTCCAATACTTCTCCTTTGTTGCCTCTTTTATGGCTCGTACAAATTGTGCTATGAACCCTTGCATCTGTTTTATTTTCAGTAGAAATTATCGTAAAGGACTTAAGACTCTTTTTAGATAAATGGTAGTTGAAAACATCACAGTAGCTGATGATACTTCTTAACAGTCGAGAGGATCAGTCGACCTGAAACTTGTAAGAAAACATGAATTTAAAACTGCTTTGAATCGCATTCAATGTACACTATAGCTTAAAGAAACTTTGCCGAACGGTTTTAAACGTTTCTTTGAACACTGACTTTACAATCATTTTGAANTCTTTTCTTCCTTCTGTGATTTCTTCTTTTTTTTTACCCGAAGTAGGGGGAAGGGGGCGGGCCCCCCGGCACCCCCGGGCCCTTCCCCTGGATCCGCCACTGACACCATGTGATTGTTAGGAGTTATACTTCGTTTTAAGTCTGGTAAATATTATCTTTTTATCTCAATACTGCTTTCTATTTGATTCAAAAACTTTATAAACGGTTTCTAAACCTTCTTTTGACAATTCCTGTGGCGTCATCCAGTTCATTCATAAGAATTGCTCGGCCGTCATATAAACCGTGTAAATAATATTTATATCAATACTGCTATTTATTTGATTCAACCTACTTTAAATAAACTTTAATTTACAGAGCAGTTTAAGTACAGCCGCTATTTCGACAATTTCCTTGTCATCATTTGTAGTTTTCTTAAATTAGGAAACAATAAAGTGAGTGAACCTGACGTCAAGAATTCCAGTGCTAATTCTCCTTTCAAAGCAATTCTAAGTCAGTAATATTCGATTTTTATAATTTCCTCTCAGTTTCAGTAAACTAAATACAAGTAAACGCCCTCTCCTTGTCTCTTTTTTTATCGCCACTGTTTTCTATGTTTGCCTCGAGGGTATTTCTGTCGTGTTCTTGAAGTCGAATCTGAACCTAATTCTGCAGTCAATTAGCCTTACGAAGCATATGCAATGGTTTATATACTAGCAGTCTCTTTTTGGGAGAAAACCTCCTAGTTTTGTCCACTGTTGAGCTCAGTTTATATTAGTGTGCCAGCTGCTACGGCCGGTATGTTAGTATTTTATCCACGTTATTTCTTTTTTCGGATTGGGCCTGGATTAGGTAAACTCGGGTTTTGTATTGTCTTAAAATAGTGTAATCTTTATGGAACATGCTTGACTTCATTATAGATTTCGCGATTTGGACAATGGTATCCACATCTACCGGTTTACCGAAGAACTTTTACACAAAAACTAAGTGGCAAATCTGTTAAGTTGTAATTTTTTTAAGATTAGGAATTAGGTTAATGTCCGATGATTTTCTAAATATGCCGAGAACCTCCAAACCTGTGCAAAACAACTCTGGAATATCCGAAGGTGTCTCCAAAACTTCCGAAAAAGTCCCGAAGTCGTTTTGATGATTTGTTTTTCAAACAATGCGGCTCCGGATTTGAAGGAAAATATTGGCGGATCGATTGATTTGGCGAAAAAAATGGCACGGATTGATGGATTCATCCTCCTCGTTGAGTTAGAAGCCTGAACGGGAAGCTTCTGTTAATAACTCGCACGTTCAGTGCCCGGATGTTTTCCGTTCAGACAAGAACTTCGCACTTCATGCAATTTTCATTGTGTCAAGAATTACAGCAGTTTTCAATCAAACAGTCGACCCTTAAAGCAGACAGTCTTGAAAAACTATAAGTTTTGATGGACGTTTATCATCGCCGCCTCTTTGCCACAAGCTACTTGGAAAATAACTTAGGACTTCTCAATTCGGGAATACATCGAACATCTTTTGTTAGAATACATCCCAGATGATCCTACAAAACTTTCGTTGAGTCAGAAACCGAGAATTCTTCGAATCCTTTAATTTTTAACGATATCAGTTTCCATAGGCAAATTTGAAAACTGAGAGAAAAAAACCCTCGTTTTCGTGAACTTGTGAGAAAATAATGACGGCGTTTGTTGGGTTTGCCAAGGGTCATTCTAGTGCATGAATAGGCCTTTCCACAAATATTCGGATATTTTGGGGGATATTTAGAAGTTTCCGAGATTTTTGGAAAATTTAAGGCTATTTAAAAATGTATTAAAATAAAATTGTCAATAGATTTTTGTTGAAACTTTGTCCACTGAACATTTGTCATATGAGAACTTTAATTATAAAATAAAATTGGGGGGTGCCCATGCTCGTTAAGGAGCTGTGAGGCATTGAAAATATCCCATTTTGGCATTATTTAATGCTTATTACAAGAACGAATTCCACGTTATTGTAAAATCGTTGTGAGYCCAGACTCATGAAAACACGCCTCAAACTACAGTCAATACTTGTGTCGGACACAAATAAACTTTTTAGTTTGATTTTGACAGACAGCTGAATCTTTGTTAAAATATTGGAACCAAATTGCTCGCCACGGCTATCAAACTACAAAATAGAAAAGACTACAGTGCAGCTGCTATTTTCCTTAATTCTTCAATTTTCAGCAATAGAAATTAGATCAGTTTTCTCATGCAAAGCTAATTATTAGTTGATTAAAACGACTGGAAAAAAATTGGAGTGCTGGAGCTGTTAGTGGGCTATAGCCATTTTTCAACTGACGGAACTCAAAATCAAGGCAAATCCGCTATGTTTTCAATGTGCGCGTACACGAGCGCGCGCTAGTGACGTCATAAATTATGCGCAGTAAAGATGCGCAATGCAAATGTGAGGAATCACTTTAAGTATTTTTCTAAAAGACTTAAAAAATCTTTTAATGTGACGGAAGTAACCATGGGCTTTGATCCGTTGAACAAAATTTTTGAACTGTACAAAAATGCTACACTTAAGATTGATCTTAGATCTTCAACCTGCCTGTGTAGCTGATGGGATATCGCGCGTGAGTGCTTTTGCTTTGGGGGCGGAACTGCACACTCTAGGGCTGAGGACGTGGGGAAATTTTCGCGAGCGGTAAAGTCGCGAGGAGAAAAAAATCAACTCTCAATTTGACTACTCACCATTCCCCTCGCAGCTCAGCCTTCTTTTAATCTAAATCTGACTTTATGATCGTAAGATGGGCGAGCATTTTCTGTATTATGGTAATTATAGCGGCGCTTTTCATTTACATGTTCTTGACACACAGAAAAAGTTGATCACACTTAGTATTGAATTATGTCTAAAGGATGGGAGAACTGAATACTAAACGAATTTAAGACATTTTACAGCGCTTTTAATTTGGGTTGAATCCTCTTTATCAGACCTGCTTTTCCTGACTTGCATTGCAATTAGACGAACGTAGAAATAAAGGAAGTAAATTCAAATACTAAAAGCTTAAGCTGCAACAACCAATCAGATTGTAAAAAAGGGCAAGATAATAATGTGAAACCAGTCTTTACTACAAGGCAATTTATACCACAAGATCATTAAAAATCTTCCAACTGTTCTTGAGCGACTTAATTAAACTATGACATGATCGTCTTAGAACAGAAATATATACTTTACAACATTTCATGTTAGGCCAGAAATTCTCGCAAAACCGGCAAAACAGTGAATTTCAGAAGTATGTTGGACTTGCACTCTCCGAGAGAGAAATCTGAAACCACGAGGTTTTAGTAGAATATAAATAGAGTAGTTCTTTCTCCTTAGCAGTCTTAGCAAGTCGTATGAAAAATAATGTGATGAGCCGGAGAGGTAACTGATAGGAAATGAAATACGAATTTCGCCGGGTAAAATCCAAAGCAATCATGAAAGGCACATACAGGTTAAGCTGCTCCAGTCATCCTACCCCTAGGAACTGGTGGGAGTTTTAAGAAAAGGGATAAATAAGAAAGCAATTAAGCAGTTCTTTGTTCGACATAAATATTTAAACTTTTTAGTCTCTTGTTTATTTTAAGAAAACAAACTAAACGCCCTGTCCTGATTCTCCAGTCTCCACCCAGATCTTTCTCTTTATGTAGACAGGTACAAACACTTTTCATAGAAACTTATAGAACTCAAGTTTTAATGTGATTCAGAAGATATCAGCCGTTGAAAAATTCATACGCAATGCACGGTTTGCACAGAAGGAGCCTCTTTGTTAAGAGACTGACTTGAGATAATACAGTTGACACTTGAGAAAACTTCATGTCTCTGCAGAATAAACTCATTTGCGGGGCAGCCGTTGATTAAGCGGTTTACGATGTTAATATACTGGACATTAAAAGTTCTAACTGTAAACTCCAATAAGCAGTCTCTGCTCGGGCATCAGGATGATTTAATTGAGCTCAAGTGTTGAAAATCTTGTGTTCTCCATGACTTGTCGTGATGAAAAATTTGATGGAAGACTGTTTATCATAGACTACAGAATGAAGTGAAAAAAGAAAAACAGCAGTCGGTATTTCATCTGGCGTAGCAGCGCAATTTAAGGAAAACATAAAAAATTAAAAGCAATTTGTGGCACAAGCTGATAGGTCACTTTCGGGTGGCGAGCTGCGCACGAAATAACAAGCCTAATTATTGTTGCAAGACTTATAAAAAGGCAGTGGATCTGCCTATCATTAGATTGTAGACATTGCCATACCGTATATGTTTTCGCGCAAATAACAACAAGAAGCAAAACATTTATCCCAGCCGCTTCAGTGGCACATAAATAGCGTGACCTTAATAAGAGAACAACTCAGAAGAAAACTCATTTTTGAGCGTAAGAGCGGAAAAAGAAACTGAACGACTATGTCGGAAAACTTGAACTCAACGATGAATGGAACACAGCCATCGCCCTGTTACTGGAATCCTACAGCAGAAAAACTCGGAAAAACCTTTGCTTACTGCCTGATTGTTCTTGTCTCGCTGGCTGGGAACACCGTCATGGGGATAACTGTCTACAGGACGAAAACCATGAGAAAACCCATCAACTTTTTAATCGTAAACATGGCCATGTCCGATCTGCTGTATCCGATTTTCTTGATTCCTCGGGCTATTCAACGGCTCTACATAAACTCCTGGCTGATCGGTGGTCCTCTTGGCCAGGTCTTATGTAAGCTGGTTTTCTTCTTACCTGAGGTCTCCCTTAGTGTGTCTATTCAGAGCCTGGTTCTGATAGCAGTGGATCGATTTGGAGTTGTGGTATATCCCCTCCGTTCCCCACTCATTAGTTCAAAGCTGTGTCCGTTCTTCATTCTCGCCACTTGGATCGTCGCGTTGGCTTTATTTTCCCCATATCTCTTCTCCAAACTTGTTCAATATCCAGGAAGGTTGGCGTGTAGGCTGCATTGGAACGAAGTCTTTGGAGAATTCTTCGAGAATTACTACGTGGCATTTTTAATTATATTAATTATCATCGCTTTTCTGTTGATAACCATACTTTACATTATCATCTATGCAAAGCTCAAATCACAAAATACCGTTGCTCCAGGCCAGCAATCGGCCAGCGTTGGACAACAACGTCAGCAAAGGGAGCGAAATGTGTTAAAGATGGCCACTGCTATTGTGTTAATGTTTGCAGTATGCTGGCTGCCCTTCACTATCAATTGGTTACTCTCAATCTTTGCATCGGACATACTGTCTTGCAGCTCCCTATACTTTTCCGACGTTGCCTTTTTTATGATGCACATAAATTGTGTCATAAATCCTTCCATCTGTTTCATTTTCAGTAGTAATTATCGTGACCGACTTAAGACTCTCTTTAGATAAATGATTTTTTTTTTAAACAGCGGCGCAACTGATGATACTTGTTAACAGTCGAGAGGATCAGTCGACCTGAAACTTGTAAAAGACGTTAATTTAAAACTGCTATGAATCGCATTCAATGTACACTATAAAGAAACTTTGCAGAACGGTCTTAAATCTTTCATTGAACACTGAGTTTACAATCATTTTGTAGTTATTATGAAAACGCCATTTTTAATTTTGTTATATTAGAAGTCATACTTCGTATTAAATCTTGTAAATAATACTAATTTATCTCAATACTGCTTTCTATTTGATTTAATAACTTCACAGAACAGTTTCTAAACCTTCTTTTCACAATTCCTTTGGCGTCATTTGTAGTTATATTTCGTAAACTCGACTTTTGTAATTTTCATTCATGAGAATTGTTCGGTCCTCATATAAACCGTGTAAATAATATTTATTTCAACACTGCTTTTTATTTGATTCAACATACTGTAGATAAACTTTACGGAACAGTGTAAGTACAGCCGTTCTTTTGACAATTTGCTTGCCATCATTTGTAGTTTTTAGGGAACAATAAAGTGCATGAAACTGACGTCAGTAATTCCAGTATTGATTCCCTTTTCAAAGGAATTCTAAGTCAGTAATATTCGATTTTTATAACTTTCCTCTCAGTTTCAGTCAACGAAATACAAGTAAACGCCCTCTCCTTGTCTCTTTTTCATCGCCACTGTTTTCTATGTTTGTCTTGAGGGTATTTTTGTCCTGTTCTTCAAGCCAAATCTGAATCTAAGTCTGCAGTCAATCAGCCTTACGAAGCATATGTAATGGTTTATATACTAGCAGTCTCTTTTTGGGACAAAACCTCCTAGTTTTGTCCACTGTTGAGCTCAGTTTATATTTGTATGCCAGCTGTTTCTGAAGCCACTTACGGGTATATTACGAACTCACAACGTGACCAGCTCCCAGTTGGCTTGATAGCTCAATTGGTGGAGCACTGCACCGGTATCGCAGAGGTCATGGGTTTGAATCCTGTTCAGACCCGAAGTTTTTCAGGCTTCAATTTCGCAACTGCTTAAGTTGTGTTTATATAACTGCGATGATCAATCATGTCTTCATATACACCGTAACGTCATGCATGACGAGATTCATACGATTCTGAAATTCGCTGCAGGGTAGGGTTCTCATCGAGTTGTGTTACGAGATCGAAGAATCTGTCATTGCCGTGTACTTTGCGGTCATCGAGTTTTCACGCATCTCACCACAAGAGAATTGAAGAGATGAAGACCAGACAGAAGAAGGTGATGCAGTGCGAATGCTTAATTATTATGACAGCGATTTAACAAATTGACGTCAGTTTTTCTTGCGTCTGTCCTGTTATTGATCATGAATTTCGTCATAACATTGCCAAAGTAGGTGTGGATCCACGAGCCGACAGCCGAGTGGATCCGCAGACTACTTTGACAATGTTATGATGAAATTTATTTTCAATAACAGGACAGACGCATTAAAAACTGACTTCTATTTGTTTTTTGCGATAACAGTTCGCTCTCACTCGTTGACACATCGCATAAATTATAAATTCATGAGTCTGTCCGCTTATCGACAATAAAAATNAATATTTAAACTTTTTAGTCTCTTGTTTATTTTAAGAAAACAAACTAAACGCCCTGTCCTGATTCTCCAGTCTCCACCCAGATCTTTCTCTTTATGTAGACAGGTACAAACACTTTTCATAGAAACTTATAGAACTCAAGTTTTAATGTGATTCAGAAGATATCAGCCGTTGAAAAATTCATACGCAATGCACGGTTTGCACAGAAGGAGCCTCTTTGTTAAGAGACTGACTTGAGATAATACAGTTGACACTTGAGAAAACTTCATGTCTCTGCAGAATAAACTCATTTGCGGGGCAGCCGTTGATTAAGCGGTTTACGATGTTAATATACTGGACATTAAAAGTTCTAACTGTAAACTCCAATAAGCAGTCTCTGCTCGGGCATCAGGATGATTTAATTGAGCTCAAGTGTTGAAAATCTTGTGTTCTCCATGACTTGTCGTGATGAAAAATTTGATGGAAGACTGTTTATCATAGACTACAGAATGAAGTGAAAAAAGAAAAACAGCAGTCGGTATTTCATCTGGCGTAGCAGCGCAATTTAAGGAAAACATAAAAAATTAAAAGCAATTTGTGGCACAAGCTGATAGGTCACTTTCGGGTGGCGAGCTGCGCACGAAATAACAAGCCTAATTATTGTTGCAAGACTTATAAAAAGGCAGTGGATCTGCCTATCATTAGATTGTAGACATTGCCATACCGTATATGTTTTCGCGCAAATAACAACAAGAAGCAAAACATTTATCCCAGCCGCTTCAGTGGCACATAAATAGCGTGACCTTAATAAGAGAACAACTCAGAAGAAAACTCATTTTTGAGCGTAAGAGCGGAAAAAGAAACTGAACGACTATGTCGGAAAACTTGAACTCAACGATGAATGGAACACAGCCATCGCCCTGTTACTGGAATCCTACAGCAGAAAAACTCGGAAAAACCTTTGCTTACTGCCTGATTGTTCTTGTCTCGCTGGCTGGGAACACCGTCATGGGGATAACTGTCTACAGGACGAAAACCATGAGAAAACCCATCAACTTTTTAATCGTAAACATGGCCATGTCCGATCTGCTGTATCCGATTTTCTTGATTCCTCGGGCTATTCAACGGCTCTACATAAACTCCTGGCTGATCGGTGGTCCTCTTGGCCAGGTCTTATGTAAGCTGGTTTTCTTCTTACCTGAGGTCTCCCTTAGTGTGTCTATTCAGAGCCTGGTTCTGATAGCAGTGGATCGATTTGGAGTTGTGGTATATCCCCTCCGTTCCCCACTCATTAGTTCAAAGCTGTGTCCGTTCTTCATTCTCGCCACTTGGATCGTCGCGTTGGCTTTATTTTCCCCATATCTCTTCTCCAAACTTGTTCAATATCCAGGAAGGTTGGCGTGTAGGCTGCATTGGAACGAAGTCTTTGGAGAATTCTTCGAGAATTACTACGTGGCATTTTTAATTATATTAATTATCATCGCTTTTCTGTTGATAACCATACTTTACATTATCATCTATGCAAAGCTCAAATCACAAAATACCGTTGCTCCAGGCCAGCAATCGGCCAGCGTTGGACAACAACGTCAGCAAAGGGAGCGAAATGTGTTAAAGATGGCCACTGCTATTGTGTTAATGTTTGCAGTATGCTGGCTGCCCTTCACTATCAATTGGTTACTCTCAATCTTTGCATCGGACATACTGTCTTGCAGCTCCCTATACTTTTCCGACGTTGCCTTTTTTATGATGCACATAAATTGTGTCATAAATCCTTCCATCTGTTTCATTTTCAGTAGTAATTATCGTGACCGACTTAAGACTCTCTTTAGATAAATGATTTTTTTTTTAAACAGCGGCGCAACTGATGATACTTGTTAACAGTCGAGAGGATCAGTCGACCTGAAACTTGTAAAAGACGTTAATTTAAAACTGCTATGAATCGCATTCAATGTACACTATAAAGAAACTTTGCAGAACGGTCTTAAATCTTTCATTGAACACTGAGTTTACAATCATTTTGTAGTTATTATGAAAACGCCATTTTTAATTTTGTTATATTAGAAGTCATACTTCGTATTAAATCTTGTAAATAATACTAATTTATCTCAATACTGCTTTCTATTTGATTTAATAACTTCACAGAACAGTTTCTAAACCTTCTTTTCACAATTCCTTTGGCGTCATTTGTAGTTATATTTCGTAAACTCGACTTTTGTAATTTTCATTCATGAGAATTGTTCGGTCCTCATATAAACCGTGTAAATAATATTTATTTCAACACTGCTTTTTATTTGATTCAACATACTGTAGATAAACTTTACGGAACAGTGTAAGTACAGCCGTTCTTTTGACAATTTGCTTGCCATCATTTGTAGTTTTTAGGGAACAATAAAGTGCATGAAACTGACGTCAGTAATTCCAGTATTGATTCCCTTTTCAAAGGAATTCTAAGTCAGTAATATTCGATTTTTATAACTTTCCTCTCAGTTTCAGTCAACGAAATACAAGTAAACGCCCTCTCCTTGTCTCTTTTTCATCGCCACTGTTTTCTATGTTTGTCTTGAGGGTATTTTTGTCCTGTTCTTCAAGCCAAATCTGAATCTAAGTCTGCAGTCAATCAGCCTTACGAAGCATATGTAATGGTTTATATACTAGCAGTCTCTTTTTGGGACAAAACCTCCTAGTTTTGTCCACTGTTGAGCTCAGTTTATATTTGTATGCCAGCTGTTTCTGAAGCCACTTACGGGTATATTACGAACTCACAACGTGACCAGCTCCCAGTTGGCTTGATAGCTCAATTGGTGGAGCACTGCACCGGTATCGCAGAGGTCATGGGTTTGAATCCTGTTCAGACCCGAAGTTTTTCAGGCTTCAATTTCGCAACTGCTTAAGTTGTGTTTATATAACTGCGATGATCAATCATGTCTTCATATACACCGTAACGTCATGCATGACGAGATTCATACGATTCTGAAATTCGCTGCAGGGTAGGGTTCTCATCGAGTTGTGTTACGAGATCGAAGAATCTGTCATTGCCGTGTACTTTGCGGTCATCGAGTTTTCACGCATCTCACCACAAGAGAATTGAAGAGATGAAGACCAGACAGAAGAAGGTGATGCAGTGCGAATGCTTAATTATTATGACAGCGATTTAACAAATTGACGTCAGTTTTTCTTGCGTCTGTCCTGTTATTGATCATGAATTTCGTCATAACATTGCCAAAGTAGGTGTGGATCCACGAGCCGACAGCCGAGTGGATCCGCAGACTACTTTGACAATGTTATGATGAAATTTATTTTCAATAACAGGACAGACGCATTAAAAACTGACTTCTATTTGTTTTTTGCGATAACAGTTCGCTCTCACTCGTTGACACATCGCATAAATTATAAATTCATGAGTCTGTCCGCTTATCGACAATAAAAATTAGCCAATGAGCCCGCGAGAAATTCTGCAGTTATTGTAAGAAACAACATTCAAGGCTGAGCGCCGGAGAGAATGGTGATATTTGAACCATTATCCGTATTCAGCTGCACTGTTCGGATTCTATGCAAACCAGACGCAATATTTCGATTGAATTGTCTTACAGACCGAAACATAATACCGTAGCAAGCACAGTTTATTCATGATACAATTGTTGAAGTATCTATGCACCGACCAAATCGATCACATTTGGCGCCAAGGTCGATGGTTTGGCTCGGAAAGGAAAAGGTATACGGTCATGGTTTCTACTAGTTTTGGCATTCTTGACCATTCTTGCTAACGCAGTGCGAGGGAAAAATCTTCAAGGCGGTGAATGATCGGTTCAGTGGAGTTCAAGACGATCAAACTTTGATGAATACCCTTCAAGTCGATGAAATGGCGGGAAGAAGTGAGATTCCCGCCAACTTGCTCGAGACTCCGCCACCTTTACCAGAAAATAGTATATAGCTTTAGCCAAGCCTAAAACCGGAGCTCCTGGGCCCGGTTGTTTAAAATTCTACAGTTCCCGGCCCTGATAATTAAAAACGTGATGGTGTCAACTTAAATTATGCCGCAAATTTTAAGTACTTACCGGGAACAATGATTCCCGGGCACTGTGATTCAACAATGAGATTGCGCTTAAAGTCGATGCACTCCGCTATTTCTGTCAGCCATTACAAATACTGATCACGCTCTTTTAGAAGGCGAGGGTGAACTTTCAGAGCTGTTTTATTTGCTAGCGAAAACTCAGTTTTGCTTGGTATATCACTTCCAGGTTGCTTCGTGTCACGAAATGTTTCTCTAATGACTTCCTTATTTTAGATTCCTTTTAACAAAGGGGACATGTCACCTAGATGTCGGCCAAAGCTGACAAGGCGTAGAGCCAAACATATATGATTTCTTCACTACTCCAAACGAAAATCTATTGGCTGTCGAAACTAAGATTTTTCGTGCATCGCAACAGAGATCGCAACTGGTAAAAGGGGACAGAGCCGTAACAACAATATTTACCTCTTTGAAAAGGTTTGTAATGTCCATTTTTGGGTCCCGTTCCTGAGTCGATTGAGATTTGCGGCCAGATTTTAAGGCTATCGTTTACACTTGTGTATAAAATAGTACGCCGTTATACTAAGTAAAAATACAGCTGTTAAAATTCTTGTCCTTATTTTCTTACTACATAGCGGTTTGTGTGCCACATTTTTCGAGTTGTTTTGAATGGAAAGAAGCGATTTCAAAAGAGCTCACTGCCTGTCCAATCAAACATTTAATAATTGAACACCGAAGTTAGTTCCCGTGATGCCCAAGGACACCGTTTTCGGCGAGAGAAGTTGTTTTGTTTATAGCGAAGAAGCGTCCTGTATTAAAAAATGCATGTGCAAAAATCCACACAAATGCGTCTCACTGAGTCTAAATAGACGCGCAAACCCTCTTGACAAGCGAAACGTTGTCATTCTTAACAATTTACTTTTAATCAAAGCAGCGAAGTTAAGAGTGTAACTCCGCATTCAATACAAGATAAAATGACAAATGTTTACACGGCTGGTGAGTTTAAAACAAAACAGTTCTCGTTGAATGAGTTATGTTAGAGTTAAAATGAAGCAATCATAAAGCCAATATATTCAGTAGTTCATTATCTTTAAACTGGTTTCAGAAAAGGCCGGCAGAGAAAGTTAAGAAAAAGCTAGAACAGCAAAATAAATAACGTTTTACGCTGAAAATTCAGGTGACGGTAGCTTTATTGCTGGGGAACACAGA